TTCTTGTGGTTCTGACAAGTGCATTATCATAAGGCTATTATATCTTTTTACAAACCTCTCCAAAATGAGGCAAATCCCTCGGACTGAAATGTTCTTGTGGTGCAGTCAACCACTCCTTTGTAGGGCGTTGTCAATCGACCAGCTTTGATCATCTCATCTTGATTCTGGACTAACAGCTTTACGCGCTCGATAGGAGCAGCTGCGGTTTTGGAGATGATAGCTGCAGCACCACTAAGGGCAAAGTTTTCAACAAAGTGAAGCTTGACTTTCTTGTCAGGCATCTATTTATAGAAGAATGGCAGTCAATAAACGCATGGAGAGTTTATACAATGAGCATGTTCCGTCATTTACCATACCTTAGTCGGTGATTTTTTGCCAAGATGTGATAACTTTGACCCTTTCTTTAAAGACGAGGGAGACTTAATTGATCATTAACCAATTGCCTCGGTCAATTAACGATAATCGAATTAATTCCCTATTCATGACGTAACGCAAGTTTGTTTTACCAACAATACTCTGCGCGCGTTCAAAGCGCGCGCATTTCGTAAATGAAATTCGAGTTTTAGTAAATTGCACATACATTTACATTGTATACAGACACATTGAAGTTCATAAAGCCGAGCTATAGATTCCTTAACGTCAAAGCAGCTTCATCTGAAGGACAAAACAAGAGACTTTTTCCCTCATGGGAATTAGTATTCATGGTTTTCTTCGTCGAGTTAGAGCTGCATTCCCATGAGCTGCAAGCGGTTATAGTGGAGTTTTCTCAGCATGATACCTACAATAGCTACGGTATATACTTTTTGGCGCCATGGTCCGAGTTAGTCTACTGAGCTATATTTTACAATTCAAGTAGAGATGTATTTCACGGTTTTCATGTTTAAGTCTATTGCATCTGCATCTTCACCAAACAAGAAAAYAGTGTTTTTCTATTTCTTTATTACCAAAAATCTGTACTTATATTCATTGTTTCAGCATTAATTACATTCTAGCGATGCTAAYTTTTCACATTTACATTTTAAAATGATTTTACTCATATTTCCCTGAAATTAAACGCCAAGAATAAAATTCGAAAGTCTGTACAAGACTCATTTTACATTGTTGCTTGTTTAAGATCTACTTGCTCGGATAGGACTGGGTCCAGTATGACGTCATCTCCTTCTTCACACCATATGTATGCATTTGAGATGACAATTAGCTTATTATCTAGTCGATAAAATGCCGTCGATTTATAGATTCTTTAATTGTGCTATTATACTCTGAGCTTCGCTTTCAGCGTGCTCATTGCGATGTCGGTGTCTGGGAGGTCGGGATGGACTTTCGTCAACTCCATTAGCGTTAGCTTCTTGAGCTTCTGCGAGTAGTTTTTGTACGGGGATGTTAGTACGAGTTCTTGATCTACGCAGATCAACTGGGCGACCTCCTGCAATGAATATTGCATATGGTGAGATACTAAACGAGACACTGAGAATACTATGAGATTCAAATAAAAATTAATGCGAAAAATAGAACGTATTTGGATACTATGATGCAATAATTTACATTG